TTGGCCTTTCTGCATTTGTGTTGAGCGTTGTGTTGAGCCTCTCTTGTGCCCGAAGTTTCCTTGCGAAGACCTCCTTTTTGTGTGTTTGAAACCTGTTTTTCTTGAGCTCATGGTACTACCGCAGCCTGCTACAGTACTATCGCGTGTGGAGAGCATGGTACTACCGCCCCAGCACGGCAGTAATTTTTTATTGCCGCCTGGGAGAGCGGTACTACCGCTTTGGTGTGGTACTTCAGCCCAAGCGGTACTACCGCGATGATGTGCGGTACTACCGCGCTGTCGCAGACGCGTAGGGATAAGGATGGGCAGGGGGAGTTCTAACTCCCCCATACCCATTCGTCTGTTTCCCCACTTCGTCTCTCTCTCTAGCTCAAGAACGGGGTCGGAGTCCCTCGCCGGATCTCCGCTTCCGGCTGCTCTCCTGCGATTCCGCCCGGTGGGATCGTTCCCCACCATGTGCTCTTGCCATGGAACAAGGTCCTTCCCCAAATCCCTCTCTCTTTTCGTTGTTTTCTTTGCCTCTAGGTTTTTGGGGAGATGCTTTTGTTCTTGAGATTTTAGGCTAAATCTTTGCAAGAGTAGGATGTAGGAGAGTAGTATTGCGTAGGGATTATACTTGATATGTTGTCCTGTGATAGAGTTGATCAACCGTAGTACCGCCGTGGTTTCGCGGTTCTTCTCAGATTCAAAGTTTGGTTCAGATCTGACGCGGTGTGGTACTACCGTGCCACATGTGCGGTACTACCGCTCGGCCGGTACTACCGCCCATCCGGTGCAGTACTACCGCATGAGCTGTGGCACTAGGATCTTACTACCGCTCCCAGCCCCGGTACTACCGTGACCTCACACGGTACTGCCGCGACTAGGAGCGGTACTAAAATTTTAGTACCGCAGCACCAGGCAGTACTACCATTGGGCCCATTCTATCTCATGGCAATTACCACGTATGCTTTCTTCGTGTTTCTTTTGCTTTGTCGTGGTCTTTGCATTGATCCTTCTTGCTTGTCGTGGGTGTTTTGCGCTTTGTGTCTCAGGTGGTGGCTCTCGCTGTTCCAATCCCAGTCGTGACACTGGCTCCAAGCGTCTGCGCAATCAATGTGAAGCACCAGAGGGCTCCAATGCCCCCAAGCGCCATGTCAAGGCCACCGCCAGCAAGCACAAGGAACCCGCTAAGGGCATGGACGAGATTCCCCCCTTCTGAGTTCATCCGTCTCAGGCAGATCAACCCGTATGTGAATCCTCGTGCTACCGTCAGAGACAGTGAATTGTTTTGGACCAAGCAGCAGACTCTCACTTATCTGGATGTCATCAAGAACAAGCAAAATACCTACGTGGATGTCAAGTGGATAGCCATGCATCACCTGAGGAAGGACAAGTTTCGTGAGTACTTTGGAGAAGCTTTGGATTTGGTGGAGCAGTTTGGTATTGAACATGTGATCTCTTTCCATCTTGACTATGACCCTGAGCTTATTGTCAGTTCTTTGCCTCAGTATTCTTTCACCCTGGGGAGGAGCGGAGGATGACCTGGATGACCAATGGCCGTCAGTTGACTACTACCTGGAAGGAGTTCATGGATCTGCTCCAGGTTCCTGATGACGGGCTCAACACACCCGTGGGTGTTCGCCCCCATGCCAATCCTGAGTCTGCTAACAAGGACAAGATTCAGCCGTTCTATGTTGAGAAGATGCTTCCCAGTGGCAAGTCGGCGTGGGTGCTCAACTCCTTTCTAGATATCATGTATCGCATCTTCTGCAACTCTCTGTTCCCTCGCATTGGTGACAAGGACAAGGTTCATGCCTATATGGTGGACATGTTGCTCCTGTGCGAGCAGGCACGTGTGTCTTAGATTCAGCCACTTGATGTCTCACACATCATGTGGTGTGAGCTTCGGTTTGCGGTGTTCAACCGCAAGGTGCCTATCTATGGACCATACCTATTTCTGTTGATCTCCAAGACTTGGGTGAAGCAGTACCCTGGTGATGAGTTCCTTGCTCCAGACTGGATTCGGCATGATCCCATTAGTCTCCATGTCAAGCCCAACTGGGCCAACACTACTACTCGTGCTGAGGCGTCTGCTGCTAGGAGGGCAGTTTATGAGGATGAGGCTGGAGCAGAGGATGTTGCTGAGGACCGTGCTGCTGGGTCTTCCCATAGTTCCTCTGAGCCCTCGTGGGCCAAGAAGCTGAAAGACAAGATGAAGACTCTTTTCTGCATGCAAGCTAAGGGGCAGTACAAGACTCACGTGGCATCCAAGGAGAGTCGCCACCGGGACAAGAAGATCTTGAGGCTGTATGGAGAGGACGTGTCTGGCGGTTCTTAGGATCACATCACTCCAAAGGCTGAGTGGATGGTGAAACAAGGCTACAAGTGGACTGATTCTGAAGAGGACGTCGAGGAGACCATTCCTGCCGCCGCGTCTGACGAGGAGCGTTGGGATGATTTCTCTGCTTGAGCCACCCCTTGTGTGTAGGTGTCCTCTCTGCCTTTTTGGCGTCTCGATGCCAAAGGGGGAGAGAGTGTAGGGATTTGCGAGTTGTGTGTCGTGTTTGGTGTGTTTGCGTGTCTCGTTTGAACCTCGTTTCGATTGTTTCGGTTGCTTTGGTTTGGTTTGACCTTCATATGGTGTAAGACATATGCACTCTACCTATCTTAGTGAGCTTGTGATATATTGTGCTACCTATGTTTATGCACTTGCTTAGATGTTAGTCTTACCCTTGCAAGATCATGCATTGTCTCTAAAATATAGGGGGAGTGTTGATCCTAGCTTGTGTGATGTGCAGTCCAAAGCATCCATCTAGATTGCACACATCTAGGGGGAGCCCATCTATATTTTAGAGAGGAGGGGTTTGCCTCTGCTCAATATTATTTCCCCTTGTGCAAATCCCGTATTGTCATCAATCCACCAAAAAGGGGGAGATTGTAAGGGCATATTTATCCCTAAGTGTTTTGGTGATTGATGACAATGCTTTTGCGGACTAATCGTGTGCCTTGAGTTTCTCAGACGTTTCATCGCTAGGCACAAGACGGTTCGGTGCCCCTCGAAGACTATTGAAGACGACGTTTTTCTACGTTTCTTTTTGGTTTTGAGTCATAGGAGAGCCGTACTATTAAGAGGGGGTCCGCGTCGGAAAGGTTCGGGTGGAATCATCAAGTACACGTTTCCTTCCTTGTCTCCACCTTTCCCTTGCACTTTGGAGCATCCCCCGTTTATCCTCTATGCGATTGTCCTGGCTGCTGTTGCTGAGCTTGCGGTAGTACTGCTCCCTGGAGCGGTAGTACCGCAGGCACCTGCGGTAGTACCGTGCCACTGCGCGGTAGTATCGCGGGAGCCGACGGTAGTACCACTCCTCTGGAGTCGTAGTATCGTGGCTCCCTGGCCAAGTACCGCTGCTTTGCGGTAGTAGGGGCGGATGTAATTTTTTACATCCGCGCCTGCACGGTAGTACCGCACGTCGTGCGGGAAAATAGTACCGCGGGAGCCCACGGTAGTACCGCTCCTCTGGAGCCGTAGTACCGTGGCTCCCAGGCTAAGTGCCGCTGCTTCGCGGTAGTAGGGGTGGATGTAATTTTTTACATCCGCGCCTCCATGGTAGTACCGCACTTCGAGCGCGGTAGTACTGTGATGGGTGTTTGCATCGTTTGTTTTCCAGCGAAAGTAGGCACAGATGTATTTTTATTCATCCGCACCCTTCCCTGGCTAGGACTTTCCTGCCTCGCGGTAGTACCGCTAGAGGGAGTGGTAGTACCGCGCTTGCGGTAGTACTGCTCTCAGTCAGGCATGTTCTAGTCTCTGCAGCTACCGCGGTAGTACCATGGTCCCTCACGGTAGTACCGCGTGGCCTTGCGGTAGTACCGCGTTTCTGGAGCGGTAGTACCGCATGTCGCAGGCTGGATTAGTGGATAACGGTTGGATTTTGTCCACAACTATAAAAGGGATGTCTCCTACCTCTAGTTGACCACCTCTTCCATCCCTAAGCTCCATTGTTGCTGCAAGCTCCATTTTCGCCCGATCTCTCTCCTAGCCAATCAAACTTGTTGATTTGCTCGGGATTGGTTGAGGAGGCCCCGATCTACACTTCCACCAAGAGAAATTTGATTTACCCCACTAATCCTTAGCGGATCTTGTTACTCTTGGGTGTTTGAGCACCCTAGACGGTTGAGGTCACCTCGAAGCCATAGTCCATTGTGGTGAAGCTTCGTGGTGTCGTTGGGAGCCTCCAATTGTTTGACGCAGTTTTGTACTAAAGAAGAGAGGTTAAATAAGTAATAAAAAAAGATACAGACCAACTCTTTTTCCTCTCTCTCTTACGCGACTAATCCCTTAATTGTCATTATTGTTATTTTTTTTGAACAAAAAGGAATTTTCGGGAGTGCAGGTTACATAGGGAAGAGTATATGTACATACAAGGTGGACTAGTGCATGCACGAACTAGTTAATCTCTTGATTGATCTTTTACGTGGTGCATGGCAATTTTGCCTACGTAAATACATGCATGCATGAGGGCGGTAATATGTACATCGAAAATATATGCCTTGGTTATACGTGGAGGCCGCGACGACAGACATACAAATAAGCATACGAACACCTACACATATGATGGATTGATCGATATATTTTTGAGGTCTAGATGTGCACTCGAAGGTGTCGCGGCTGGTGCAAGACAAGTCGAAGCTGTTACATCAAGCATTGGTGGAGTCCAACGAGCCGGAAGGACTGCAGCATATACACCAAGGAGGCTGTGGTTAACTAGCCTCACCGTTGTTGGAAGCTGATACAACGCAGCTCCATGGCCAGAATGAAGCAAAGACCCGGCAAGTAAAAGTAAAAAAAAACGAGATATATCACAAAAGCAATCATTTTATTGATCGATGATACAAAAGTTCACTGAGACTAATCAAACTTTTTCTGGATGAGCTAAGACAAATTATATTTAACTAAGATAGAACATATTTTTAAGTGCAGCTTTTGCAGAGCAGTCCATGATCTCTAGCCCGCTCCCTCACTCAGGAGCTTTATATGCTAGGATCGTCGCGATCTCTGGAAGCGTTCTGCCGGCGGCCAGGAAGGCAGCCGCCTCCGCACGACGTCTTGTGTATGACTCGGCCACCTGTGACGAACTCCGGACTGCATCCTCATGAGCTTCAAGATGGCGGGAGCTAGAAGTCATCATGTCAGCTAGGACGCACGTGCGCTTTTCAGCCAGTGCCGCCATCTCGGTTTCCTTCTCGCAGAGGGCCTTGTACTCCTCGGCAAGCTGCTGATGTTTGCCGGCAAGCATCCAATGTTCTTTGGCCAACTTCTTTTGTTTGTTGCAGATGGAGGCGAGGTTGGCAAGGCGCCCCTCTAGGTGCGGTCCTTCCTTCTCGAGGCAACAAAGTCCTTGAGTGATCCCCGCATGAGCTGCATCGAGTTTCTCCAACAGAGATGACACTTGCGTCGGCGCGGGTGCCGATGTGTGGGAAGTGGCAAGACCACCTTTTTCGCCCAGACGAGCCACCACCGCTTCAAGGTGTCGAATCAGAATCTCAAGGTCTGGCGGGATCTCGTTCGCATACGGGATCTTCCGCATACTTATCACGGACTCGATTTTAGTTATGGTTAGCTCCTCATTGATTGGCTGCTCCCTTAGCGCCTCTTGTATATCCTTGAGTCCTATTGAGATGTACTTTGCTGCTATTCCGGGTGGGAGAACAAGGCTTGGCGTTGAGATGTTACTCGTTGGAGGGACTTTGAGCTTCTCGAGCAGAGTGTTTTCTCTAGCAAGGATATTCTGGTGTTGCTCAATTAATACACGGAGTTCCTTTGCCTCAGGGGAATAAAAGTCTTCTAGATTATTTGATTTGCTGGAGACATCTAGAAAGGCGACAAAAAGAGAACGAGTCAAGAAAGCATCCAAAGAAAATTAATGCAAGGGTGGCGGGGGGATTATACACGTACCGCAAGCAGACGTCCTTGGCTTCTTTGCAGTTATCCCAACATCTTTGTCATTGATAGCTCCCGATGACCTCTTCTTGTCCACTTCGGGGGTGCCTGTTGATGTGGTTAAAGAAGCGGGCTTGGTCACCAGGGAGGCGGGTTTTACGACGAGATCGCCCCCTGGCACAGTTGAAGAATTCATAGCTTGATCATTCATTGCCGGGGCGTGTGCTTCGCCACTGAACTAGACTTGGCCGGAGGTGCGGATTTGGTGGCCGGCTCATCTTGGTCCATGTTTTCCATCACCTCGTCTAGGAGTTGTTCCATACCGCTGCTCATAGGCACGAACGGCAACACGTCGTCAAGCTTGTCCTGCATGCGTACATGATATATGTAGAAGTAAGAAAAAAAATACATTCATGCGAGCTCTTTTTCTTTTTTATTCTCTTTACCTCCAGGTTCCCTAGTGGTGGAGCGTCAGTATCAAGGGAGATGGATGTCTCGTCAGAATTCTTTGAGTTGCGGTTCGGGTAGCTACGCGTAGTCCGTGGCGCTGAGCTATGCGATTTCAGTACAAGCGGCGGGGCACTTGGCAACGGCGGTGACCGACATGTGTACTCCACGCTCTTGGAATAGTTTCCCGACTTGCTTGGAGGTGGTGGAGGAGTTGAGCCGCCTTTGCCGTTCCTGCTGCCACTCGTCGAGCCCTCAACATCTCTCGATCCATACTTCTTTGACTTGTCGCCCCGTCCCATGGTGTCCTGATGACACGAGTGAGATAACAAATACAAAGTTAGCAGGAGACAAAAGATACAAGTGTATCTACTGGGCATGCACACAGAACACGCAAAGTCAAGGCGAGGCATTAGCTTCAGAGAAGAAGTAACAAAGGTGTACCTTTTTCACTTCAGATCGGATGTGTCGTGGGCAATGATCGAACTTGTGTGCTCTTGAACGCTACCCAAGGTCTTATTTTTATAGTAGCTTACATGACACATACATGGAAAGACTTGTGCTAGAGCCTTGATCGGACTGACCGGGAGCTCTGGATTACGTCCAGGATGTTGCTTCCTTATATGAAAAGTTGAAGTAAAATTGCCTTGTATACATCCGTTTGATGTGTTTGAGATTGAGTACTTCACGGAGCAATTTAATGATTATCTTTAAGAATTTTTCGTCACAGGTGATGTGCAGGTAATGTATTTGAGATTGGGCTTATTATCATATGTACGTACCTCTTGCATGCTCGTTCAAAAAAAAGAGGGGGTTTGCATGTACGTGACAAGCTTGCCTTGCACTTGGTATTTATACACTATATGTACGTATTCAGGTATCTCGGCTGGCCGGCAAGCCCACGTGTACATATCCGAATACCCGCAATACTCAAACCAGGCATATACGTGTACCTGTACATTAGCCCTCTCCCACTAGCTGGTCTTTGGTTACCTTTTTTTGCATGCACACGTAAGATAGCATACATGCATGTATTTTTGGTAGATTATACGCGGCGAACATGTACGCATGTCGTACGTACTTGAGTATTTGCAGGCCGGCCAGCATGCACACGTATTTATCCAACGAAAGGCAGGCCCATCAGCAGCCGGGTAATCACATGCACGCAAGATGTTTTCCTTTCTTTTTGCAGGCTCAAATGGAGAGTTTTTAGCAGAAGGAAGGTGTAGAAGCGGCATTGGGATTTCCTAGCTTACGCATCAACTTGGACGAGGAGCAATACACAATCGGCGAGTCTCCAGAATTTGGAAACGAATACAAAAGGAAAGGTGACCTGCCGAACGAAGCAAGAGTACGGACCAAGAAATCTCACGTTTCCTTTCCTCTACACCAGCCGGACGCCTATATATAGAGGCAAAGTCTCAACATTGAGGACAGGCAGCAAACCCACAAGAGAAATCTCACGCCACTCACGCACGCACCCAACAAACTCATCACGCACCCATTCATCAAGCAAGTCCACGCAACGCCACATCCATCAAGAGGCAAAACGCACGCAGCCGACGCACGTTGATAGGAGATCGACGACTCGGCGTACCCTCATCCGCGCAAAGAACCTCGGTGGCGATGAACGCAATGGTCATGTTTCCGGAAGGTGAGACTAATGTCTAATTTTTTTGTCTCCTCCTTACATCCAGCATGCATGCACTACACGGAGGGCACGTGCTCGTTGCCAAAGACAGCGCTCATTCAATTCCGCCGCTGGCACCGGAGAGGACTTCATCGAACAAGGAGATTACACCAACACCGCTGGAGTTTGTCCACACCAAGCCCTTCGTCTTTGCACATCGCGATCGGGTGCGGACGGAGCTCGCCAAAGACGGAGCCCAACCACGCCCTTTTACAAAGTCACCTTCCTTGGTCTTGTGAGGCAGCGCCCTTGTCTTTGGCGGACCACCGAATACGGCGTCTGACCAAGACGAGGTGCACTCTTCATGGCTTATAGGCCTCGGCGTACAGGCGGTGTGCTCCCTGTCTTAGCAGACCACCGAATACGGCGTCTAGCTGAGACGAGGCGTCAACCATGCTCCTCCATGAAGCCATCCTTCTTCAACACACCACAATGTTTCACCCTTGTCTTGGTGGACCACCGATTACGGCGTCCAGCCGAGACGAGGCACACCCTTCGTTGCATAGGTCTCATTGTCATACAGGCGGCGTGCTCCTTGTCTTAGCAGACCACCAAATACGGCGTCTAGCTAGGACAGGGCATCAATCACGCCCCTCCATGTCATCCTTCTTCGGCCCCGCGATGTTCGCCTTTGTCTTGGTGGACCACCGAATACGGCGTCCAGCCAAGACGAGATGCACCCTTTGTTGCATACAGGTCTCATCGTCGTACATGCGGCGTGATCCTTGTCTTAGTAGACCACCGAGTACGGCGTCTAGCTGAGACGAGGCATCAACCGTGCCTCTGCATGATGTTATCTTTCTTCGGCCCCGCCGCGTGATCCTTGTTTTGGCAGACCACCGAATATGGCGTCTAGTCAAGACGAGGCATCCACCATGCCCCTCTAAGGCATTTACCTCTCACGGCCTTGTAAGGCGGAGTCTTTGTCTCCGCAGACTGTCCTAACCACGGCGTCTAGTCGAGATGAGACACCAACTACACCGGCCGTGCCGATGCAAGCGTGCATTGGTTTACACTGACGACAGTCTCCACAAAAGAATACTCCCGCGAGGCAACCCCTTGCGTACCCCGACGAAGCTTCTACATCATCAAGAAGTCCGAGCCAAGCAGGATCCATGCTACCCCAATACCGACTACATCAACGCTGTCAAGACTGACGAGGCGCGACGGCGAGGGCGGACGTGGCTAGCACAAAGCCATGTTTTGAGTGGCACGTGTACCGACGAGGACACAGTCTTTGCCGCTGTCTGCACCTACACACACCATAATCATATGCATGGAGAACGTGAAGCGAAGACGACGAAGACGACCACACGGCTTAATCGGAGGTATCTCGCGGAGCAACCCACATGAGTAATTAACCGGGAGCCTTTCGAGGCCCCGGGAACCAGGTGACCGCACAACGCTAGTCAGGCAGCCCGCGCTAGTAGGCCACGAAGCGCATATCGGGAATTGTATTTGTTATCCTTGAGATTAATAAAATACTGTTCCCATCTCTTTGTTTTCTTTGTGTACTACGGTACACTGGCACGCCCGCATTCTCTTTTCCCCGGCGCATGAGAGAAATCCACACTCCTTCTCTTCCCTTCTCACGGAGTGCCCATAAGATTTTTCTCGTGTCAAACACCAATTAAGTTGTGGAGATTGCCCCAACCTTGTTTGTAAAGGTTCGGTCGCCGCCTTCAAGGGCACCAATAGTGGAATCACGACATCTCGCATTGTGTGAGGGCGTGAGGAGATTACGGTGGCCCTAGTTGCTTCTTGGGGAGCATTGTGCCTCCACACCGCTCTAACGGATACGTACTTCCCCTCAAAAGAAAGGAACTTCGGTAACACATCCTCGTCTCCACCGACTCCTCTCTTGGTTATCTCGTGCCTTTACTTGTGCAAGCTTATTTGTGGTGTATCCCTTGCTTGCTTTTGTTCTAGTTGTTATTGCATCATATAGGTTGCTCACGTAGTTGCATATCTAGACAACCTACTTTGATGCTAAGTTTAAATTGGTAAAGAAAAGTCTAAAAAGTGTTAGTTGCCTATTCACCCCGCTCTAGTCAACTATATCGATCCTTTCAAACATGCATCTAGAGTATTAAGTTCATAAAGAACGGAGTAATGCATTAAGTAAGATGACATGATGTAGAGGAATTAACTCAAGCAATATGATGAAAACCCAATCTTTTTATCCTCGATGGCAACAATACAATATGTGCCTTGCTGCCCCTACTGTCACTGGGAAAGGACACCGCAAGATTGAACCCAAACCTAAGAACTTCTCCCATTGCAAGAAAAACCAATCTAGTTGGCCAAACCTAACCGATAGTTCGAAGAGAATTACAATGATATCAAATCATGCATATAAGAATTCAGAGATGATTCAAATAGTATTCATAGATAAGCTGATCATAAATCAACAATTCATCGGATCTCGGCAAACACACCGCAAAAAAAGTATTACATCGAATATATCTCCAAGAACATCGACGAGAACATGATATTGAGAATCAAAGAGACAGAAGAAGCCATCTAGCTACTAGCTATGGACCCATAGGTCTGTGGTAAACTACTCACGCTTCATCGGAGGGGCAATGGTGTTGATGTGGAAGCCGTACATGATCGAATCCCCATCCGGCAGGACGTCGGAGAAGGTCCCTAGATGGGATCTCACGAGTACAAAAGGTTGCGGTGGTGGAAAAGTGTTTTCGTGGATGCCTCTATTGGTTTGGGGATATATGGGAATATATAGGCGAAAGAATTAGGTCAGGAGGTGCACGAGGGGCCCACAAGGGTGGGGGGCGCGCCCTCCGTCCTTATGGCCACCTCGTGGCTCCTCCAACTTCATCTCCAAGTCTCCTAGTTGTCTTCTGGCCCAAGAAAAATCATCGCAAAGGTTTTATTCCGTTTGGACTCCGTTTGGTATTCCTTTTCTGCGAAACACAAAACTGGGAAAAAACAGGAACTTGCACTGGGCTCTAGGTTAATAGGTTAGTCCCAAAAATAATATAAAATAGCATAATAATGCATATAAAACATCCAAAACAGATAATATAATAGCATGGAACAATAAAGAATTATAG